CATCATCTCCGTACATTTACCAAACACTGCGTGAATTCTTCGTCAAACTACTTCCTCATTCTAATTGTGTCTCGTTCTTGAAATAATTTAATGAACCCCAGGGCTACAGTGGCTGGAAATCATTTCACTAACATGAACTTACCACATGTCACAATTTACTTAACCACCAGCATCACACACACACACACACACTCAAAAGCAGACAGATGGCGTCGACTAAATGGAACCCAAGCCATGTGCGTATCCTCGACGGGACACCATAGTGGAGAGAGGTGTGTGTTAGGCATGATGATGTGCCGCAATGGGAGTGGGCCTGCTGGGTTACTGGAGTAATGTTCGTATGCAGGGACACACACACACACACACACACCTGGACAGAGAATGTCAGTGTGTGGCGGAGAGAGCATGAGAGCTATATTTAGAATTAACCTTTTACCACACATGTACAAAATGCATCCGTTACACACGTGCAAATGGATGCACGCACAGGGAGTGCACACAGAAAGCCACACATCGTGGACTGGGCAGAAATCAATGAAAAACTGTAGCATATTTAATATATGATAGATATCAAAACTATCCCACAATACCACACCTCTGTGTCATCCATAAAATCAATTATTCTGTGCAGACATTAATATGTGCCTCATATGGACATGTTTTATTCATGACATACCATGGAGTTGTGTAAACAGTGTATCATATAGAAGCACACTACCGTATCTACAGCTCTGTGGGACCACAAACAAAGGAACGCCAATATGGCTGCAGGCAGAGACTGCAGAAGAAACACTGTGTCTCCTGAAATTCTAAAAGAGCTCCAGTGATAAATGGGTTAATTAATAAGTTGTCAACTATTACATTAAACACGCCTAATATGATATTTTCAAGACAAAAAAAAATCTGATTCAAGCTTCTTAGATGTGAATATTTTCTGGTTTCTTCACTCCTCTGTGACAGTAAACTGAATATCTTTGGGTTGTGGATATAAGACAAGACATTTGAGGACGTCCTCTTGGGCTTTGGGAAACACTGATCGACTTTTTATACATTATCTGATATTTTCTAGATCAATAAACAAATAGCGTACTCTAGAAAATAATCGTTAGACTAATACAGAATAAACAGCAACTGTGAAATTATCAATTATTAGAGATAATTCCTGATATCTTTTCCGATACCTGACCTTGCATATTAGCCAGAACCGAGCACTGATCCCATACCATTGCATAATANTATATATATATATATATATGTATATATATATATATACCATTTATATACTACTAACGCTGTATGGATTTAAATTGATTGCAAGGTTGTTTGGCGTGGCCCAGGTTTAACACTTTGTAACTCAGGCACAAATACATACACAGAATGAATACCAAAAATGCTAGCATTTTGCTAACAGCTGACATATTTACTGGAAACCAATTCTTCTTCACTGCGCTGTAACAGGTAGTTGCCAGTAGCTGCACAGCACAACTTGCTGTGTAGGCTACAAAGGTGAGTAACTGATCTCTGGAGAAATTGCTGTTTTATTAGGGCGTGAAACTACTTTAAAATTTATCATTAAAGTACATGGTATCAGGTCAGGGCATAGTGTACTCGCCAATACCCAGCATTGTAGGCTGTGTTGGAGGCATTTGGGATACTGGTATCACACTGGAACAACTCTATCAGTAATCTTTTGAAAGAGTTTTTCGTAGGTTTGTGGAACCTGGAAAAAAGTGGTAAACATATATGTCGAGCTGCCCCCTAATAGCTGACTAGGGCATTAACAGAAAAGTCAATTTGTCTACGTGTCGGCGTCAGTGGCACAAGCTGACACCCCCTGGGAGGAGTCGACAAGTCATGTGTTTTTTCCTTCTCTCTCTCTCTCTGTGTGTGCTTCTGTACGGAATGCAATCGTTGCTTCTGAACGTACGTGGAACGGACTCCGCGGAGGTCCGTGCGGACTCAAAGCGGACGTCCGCAAGCCCTGTGCGCGCAAAGCTCAGATTTTACGATCGCACGGACTCCGCTCGGCGCACCAGTGACTGCTCGGCATGTATTTTTCACATCACGGGGATTTTTCACAGACATTTTTACAGGAAACTACAACGCAGAAGCGCGTTCGACTATGAAAGCCTGAATGACTGCGGACATTCCTCGCGGAGTCCGCTCCGCTAATAGTACGCCCAAGTATGTTCGGGCCTTGAGAGTGACAGACAGACATCACATGTGTGGAGATACTTCACTTTCCTCCGCCGCATCAATGTGATGACATCATCAAATGACTTGTCGACTCGACTTAGACTTTATTGACAGATAAGTCGACCTGAAAAAAAATCAAAGTCGTTAATGCCCTATAGCTGACCAAACATTAGTCGACCAGAAAGGTCATTAGTTGGCAAGATTTCATTGGTCGCTTAGTCGTAGACAAAAACAAATAAACATGAAACTCTATTAGGAGCTGCGCCTTGTCAAAATAAATCAAAACCTATATGACTGGACCATGTGGGAATTTAATTTGAAAGGACAGACACAGGAAGTGGCCACACTCATGTTAATTTCCAGGGCTGGTACCTGCGGTTATTCCACAGGCTAGTTAATAACATGTCAGGCAGGAAATCCAAAGTGTGGGATCATTTTGAGAAGGTGAAAGACGAACCCAAGGTGATATGTAAACTCATCTTCATTGGTCGACTACAAACATGACGTATCATCTGAAACATGGAAGTAGCTACATGCCCATTAGCCCACAGCGTCATTAACAGGCGGCTCGCTCAGTGTGTGACGTGCACTTGTAGATAAAATATAGGCCTATATTAATGAAGGTTCATTAGTCTGGTTTTGTATTTCTCTGTAATGTAGCACAGTGTTAACAATGTTACTGATACTATTCTTTCTCACACCTTCAACTCAAACCACCAAAATATATCATTTCATAATTAAATCAACATCGTAAACATGCGGACAATTAGACGACTAATGGCCCTAAATGATGACTATTGGTCGACTGGGAGAATTCGCTTCTTTGTAAGTACTGATCAAGTGTAATGACATAAATTCCAAATGTGAGTGCCAGCACTATTTATGGAGAAACAACAGTTTGATTTCTACTCTGACCTCATTAAACTGATTATGAATTTCAATCTACTGTCTCTAAAACATTACTAATGCAGTAACTGTGAAGCCATTTATATTTGTTAGTATCTACTGGCCACTGTATTCTACTGCTGGCCAGTAATCAGCTCCAACGGGGCACCTGGAGGTCACATATCTTGCTCAAGGATACGTCATCAAGAATTCCTTATTTATTTCCCCACTGCCAGACATCAAGGTGAGCGGCTCTGAGGCAACACATGTGTTTGATTGGAGGAAAAAACCCCACGGTGAAGGAGTGTATCAATGATGCATTAGTATGGTGTGGATCAGTAAAACCACATGGATCTGACTAAATCAAATATGCTTCATGGTTCAGGACTGTTGGAGCACTGACACATTTCTGATAGGGGAGAAAAAACCATCCCAGGAGTCATTGCAGCTTCCAACCATCCAGTGTGCTGCCATGTAGAGCTGATTAGACTTATTGTAACATAAAACCATAAAATTTTGCTCACAATCCGGGTGCAAAGGCGTTCTTTGTGCCTTCAGATGAATGAACAATGAACTAATTCTGAATTTTCAAAAACAGTTTTTCTCCTCAGGGGAGGAGTTTTCAGAGCTGTCGCACTGCAGAAGAAAATAAGGCTTCAACAACGGCTACATGTCTGTGATTTATTCTCTTTTGGGTAACTTCTGTACGTTTGCTCTCCCAACAGGCGGGGGGGAGCTGCGGGTTCAAATCTGGTCCAAAGCATGGATCTGACTAAACCCTGCATGCTTCAATGATTCAGTAATGTGAGAGCACTGAGAGGTTCTCTAGTGGAGAAACAACACACACATAATATACGTCCACACCAGGCGCCGTCGAACGCCATTTGCGAGGTGAAAAAAAAAAGCGTAAATTGCCATCAGCACTTGTCCTTCACTGAGGGTAAATGGAATATTTTGTGGTATTAAATTACGGAGAAATTCTGAGTCAGTGTAGATCGGCGAAATGATAAATCTATGGTGTATTGCACTTGCTGATGAGTTAAATCCAAATGAAACTGAATTCTATTACACAAAGGAGTAAGTCCAAGGCTACACACAAATCATCAAATGCAATTAGTGAGAACTTGAGGTACTTTTTTTCCCCCAGAGGGAATCTGGACCTAGGATGCCTTTTCATCGTGCTCATGTTTGTGTGAGGTTGTTTGTTTTATACTTCAATATAACAGAAAATAAGCGTCCACTGATATAACTGCACACATTTACACAACACACAACTTCCTCTTCAGTCTTTCCCTTTTCGCTGCGTCTCCTTCTCAGTCCAACATTTTACTTCAGTAGCGTCCAACGAAAAACAGTAAAATTATTGTCCCGCTCCCAACTTCCTCCTTTCTCACACCAAACCAACCCACCCACCGTGACTTTCACATCCCATCTGCCCTTCCTTCTCTCGCCTCTCTCCGTCCTCCTCCCTGTCCCTCGTCCCATTCCTCCCCCTAACCTGAAACCAGGCAGACTCATGGCCCAGCCTGTCCTCTTGCAGCACTGCAGCTACCTTCCAACGCTCCCCGTCGAGTAATTGCCTTGATTTTAATGACTTTTTCAATTATGTCTACTTGGCTACAGCTCTCGCCCCGTAATCTCCATCATTTCCATCCATTACACTCTCGTATTCCCATGGCACCAATCAATCTTTGGTTTCTTTTAAACACTTTAAAGCAGCGGAGCGCCTTTTTCCCTGAGTAACAGTGACAACCTCCTGACCCGCCTCATCGCAAGCTGTTCAAGAGCTGCGAGAGGAAGAGAAGAGGAAACAGGAAGAGAGGCAACCTAAAGCAAAAAAATGTGCCTTTCTCATCAAAGTTAAGCACAATACAGGTTTGGCACATGTACAACACACGTGTTCTTCAGGGAGTTCCTACCTGTTCTTTGACAGAGGCGAGGATGGAGGAGGTCGTCTCCGTCTCAGATCTGTCTCCATTGGAGGCTGGCATCACAGGGGCAACCATGGCCCCCTTCTCCTGCTCTGCAGGCTGATCTGGCACCGGCATTGCTAATGTGAACAAACCCACACAAAGAAGAAACACGATTAAGCCGCATGCAGTTTTGAAAGTAAAATGTTTTAAGCAGTTTTACATAAAGAAAGAGGCAAGTAAAAATGGGTCAAATCAATGTCAACCCAGTTTTAATGCCTCCAGTCAGCTCAAGAATTCGACTTTGTTTGCAGGGAGGAGGCCTCTGCTGCCACCTTGCATCTATGCAGGATTATCCAAGCAATTCCACTTTGAAAACCCAAGAGTTCTTCAATGACTGCAGTTCTCTCATGTGGTTCATCTGTCACTGAGAATAATGTAGTTTGGAAGAAGATCATGTGCTAAAGCAACAGCTAAAGTCAGTCTATGTCCGTCCTCAGGTTAACAACAAAACAATATAAATGTTCACCTCTCCGATACACTCAGCGAATCTCTCGTCCAACTAAATTTGAATTTCAGATTAAGCTATTACAAATTCGGATACAAATTACAGCATTCATCAAAACTCGATAACCGAGCACTGATTCTTTAGAGGCTGTCAAACTGTGAGGAGACTAAAACCCTTGGTGCCATATTGCACATTTATTCCAAAATGCGCATTCCTACTCAAAGTCACAACCCAGTCGAATCTAAACACAAAGACATGATACACATTTAGTGTCACAAACACTTTCCAAGATTATTTTCCCTGATGTGCATCACCAATATGTCCGTAACTCTGCTTAGAAATCACAGGGGTAAAAAGGATCATCACGGTTTTAAGTTTTCCTCTGCATCAAAGTGATGGTGGTCATCTGTCCATCCATGGCTACATTTTAAACAGGAAGTGCTGATAGATAATTTGGCAAACCTTTAATGGGGCCAATTTACCGAAAAGTAAACAAGTTTTTAAAAAACAGGGCTCCAGTTGCAGCTTACAGTGCAAATCACTGACTCCATGGCAACTTCCCCAAAGCATTATGGGAGCTGTAGCTTCAAAATTTAGTATGATTATCTGCCAAATGAAAGACAAATAATGTGATGGCCATGCCCACCGCCACACAGCTGATTCAAATCATCCTGTTTTCTTCATCGTTTACACTTCATTGTCTCCTCATTGAGTTTGCTGACCTTTTGACCTTGTGCACATTAAATAGACGTTAACAAACAGATAAATGATGTCACTTTTGTCTCATGCATCATATTCAGTCTGTTTACTATTGTTGGCAGAATATTAGTTTATATTTGTAGCATGCATGCACAGCTACAGATACAATTTAGTTTCTATTTCTTCGCATTAGCGGTGCGGAGGGTGCTGCTGCTGCTCATCGCTGCTGAAGAGACATCTTATTGAGCCTGAGCCTTAAATACAGTTTGAGGCCAATGAGAATGAACAAAGTGCCTCAGGGGAGTTTGGAGATTTTGTTTATTTCTTTGGACTAAATTAGTTTCTTGGTGCTTTGTTTTGATTAATTATTACAATATTTATACTGATAAAATAATTGCCCTATTTTGTATTATTTATGGGTTAGTTGGTAGTGTTTGTCTTTGTATTTTAATCTGCCCAGTCTTATTCAGTTCATATAAAGTCAGTTTAGCCTGGGTTAAGCTCTTAGAAAAACTTAAAGGTCCACTGTGTAGGATTTAGTGGCATCTAGTGGTGAGGCTGCAGACTGCAACTAACTGAAACTTCTCTGACCTTTCTCAAACTACCTCCTACACCCTCTCCCTACACACTTCCACTCCGTGTCCACGTTCACATGGACTGTCTGCCACACTGAGTGCCGTCCCAAACCAACTAGTGAGGAGTGGAAGTGGGTTATAAAACCCTCCGACATCAAGCCTGCACTGATGTCGTCTTACTGACCATGTGTTCATCATGTAAAACGCTTTGTACAAATAAAGTTTCACGCGACTACCTCAAGGAATGTAAACTGCTCAAACTAAGATATACATTTAATATTGTCATACACACATTAACATCTAATATACACCTCTCTAGTCTCTATAAAACTATAGCTGCGTTTGTATTACAGTAAAGTGTAACAGGAAGTTTTGCAGAAACCGAGCAGCTTATAAACATCAGGGTGAAAAACGAGAGGATGTTTGCAAAAGAAACAGACGAGAAATGTCACCAGTGAATCTCAGGGATAAGTTTTATTCCCTTTTATGTATTACATATTTATTTATTTACTCATTTATCAATTCATTTATTTATTTTAATTGCAAAAGGATATTAGGCCACCAAATTTCAAGTAAACAGCAGCACGAATCAAATAAAAGTAATTCAAATAGATATAAAGAACATTTAATGGTAGTAATTTTACTTTTCTCCATGGTTACCAAATATAATGACAGCTCCTTTTTCCACCACAGAGACGGAAGTGTGTCCCAGAGCTTGCCGCTTTGTTTACACCCTACACCTTGATGTAGGGTGCTTCATTCAGCTGTGAAGGTGACTACAAATGGAGTGACACTCCAAGATGGAGTGGGAGTGGGTAGGGTCTGGTTTTGGAAAGGCCCCTCCTGTGTGCCAAGTGTGTAAGAGAACTAGATCCAATGAGAATGACATGAGGAACTCAGTGGTAGTGGGACCGCTCCATATGTCAATATAAAAGGCTCATTCTAAGGGTTAAAAAACCCCACAAAGATTCTTAGTTTCAGGTAAATATACACTAATGAAAAACATAGTTATGAATATTGTATACCATATTGTATACCCCCCATAAATCCTACACACACGACTTTCAAGTATGACTGAGCAGAGAGTATGAAATGGCAGACAGTTTGACAGGTAATATCAGGTGGAACCAATCCTTTAAACACGTCAGTCAGTCAGCGTTCCCAACAACCCTGAGTCCACAACACTGTGGATACAGGGGGTGCTTCAATGAATACCAAAGCCTCGACTGTAAATAAATACAGCAATTAGTCTGCAACACACACACACACACACACACAGAGTCACTCCTCTCACCTGTGTCACTGCCAGTATGTCACTTCACAAATAGGGGTCCTAGTAGACTCGTTAAAATGTGATGCCCCACTTATCAGGCTTTTAATTACTTTATTCGGGATGCAGGAAAGTGACTCGTGTCTCGTTGATTTCAAAGCGATGAGAATCATGCAATTATTCACTTAGTAAAGAAAAAACACGTTTGATCTGTCTATTCTCTTTGCTGCACTTCATCATAAAGGATGGATACACCAGGAGTGATAACAGAGTCATCATTTGACGCTTCCATCTGTAAAATGTACCTCTGTAACATTAATTGAAATTGTTTTAAAATCATCAATAAAAGCCTCTGTGCATCTTTCCTGTGTGAGCTACGAGCACACAGAGAGGGAGAGAGCGAGATAAAAAGTCAGAGGAATCAGGAAATTGGTTGGCGAGTTTTAGATAGAACAGACCATGGGGACGGGATTTTGTCAATACAACAGCCCCGACTTCAGCAGAAGACTAAATAATGAAATGATTGAGAGTGGGATTTGATCACGGAGTCTCTTACTTTGCAATTTGCCACAAGTCTCAGCCCTTCACTTTTAAAAATTTGATGTGGAGATCCAAATCTGAGCTAGCCTTGGTTATACCCACACACGCACTGACACGTGTGCATGTCTGCAGTGCATGTCAGTCATATATTTTATAGTGTTTTACAGTTTTAAGCAGGTTGTTTTCAAGAGGAAATATTTACACTAATGTCATTTAGAGCTCATCAGACAGACGTTGAGGGTAAGTGAGCATTAGCGTCAGGCAAGTCAGCCTACAAAGTCAGTGAGGATCCAGACAGCCTGCAAATCAAACATCCAGTCAGTTTATCAGCCAGTCAGCCAGCCAGCAGACAGACAGCAGGCCAGACAGGGTGGTGTCGGTAAATAAAAGATGCTAGCGAGATGGCCCGCAGATGGTTATTTTCACTCTCACTGACAAACACCACGACTGTGTCTGGCATCTCCCCTCCTGAGTGGAGATGAGTCACTAGAGTTTGGCTCCCGAGCAACCAGAACCCCAGCAAAGACCATATCACACCAGCTGGCTGACTGCCGCCTTTCTCTTGAATGAGCCAAAAATGTGCAAGTCAGTGGGAGGAGGGAAGACTCACCTCACCTTACTTTGTGGAGTTGTTTTCTACAGTAAACACCTCCCGGCAATGGAGTGGAGCCCTGAACCTGCCACAATGGAATGAACCTATGCTTCATCAATAATTTAATCTGTGGCTCCTTGCCAGTGGTTTTGTGCTGTGGTGGTTTGGTTTTGGTTTCACAAACAATCCAGTTATATCTGCAGCACTCAGACCTGCTGTATTTTGGTGTGGCAGACACTTCTCATGGCAGGAAAATTACAGGTGTGACTAATAACATTAATGATGGCTTCATTCCATTTAGCTGTGCCAGCAGTGGGCCATGCCAGAGCCTGCACTGGCACACCTGAAATGCAGCCGTTATTAGTTACACCTGTTTTGTAAGTCACAATGTCCATACCCACTGGTGGGCCTGTCAGTAATTAGGTCGACTCATTGTAGGATGTCTGGACATGACCTCGATATGTTGTTTGTTAAGGATGTCACCAACATTTTAGCCAATATGATGCCAGAAAAAAACTGCAGGGGTTCCAGACCACTAACAGACTAAATGGAATGCAGCCATTCTCACTTTCAAAACCGCACTTCAGAGACAACACAGCGTGGCTTACTGGTAGCCAGCAGCTGCACTTTTGCAGTGGAACTGGCACAGTTAGCTCTCTAACCGCCAGCATAGAGCCAGAAACGCCGTCGTTTGTAGTTTTACCCTGCAATAACTTCATCCTCCATTCAACAGTAAACCGCCCGGCTCCCTGCCCATCCATCCCGGTGTTCCCGGAGCTTCGTCTATGGCTGCAGGAGGCATCACTTTATTTTTGTTTGCCAAAATTTTGCATCCAGTCTCAAACTGTGATTTAGGGCCACTCCTATAAAGCAAGGCCCACTATAATCTTATATTAACATGTGTTAATTACTTTTTTAAATGTAGTTTACGGTCCATTTATTTTTGTTTGCCAAAA